TCAACTTTGGAAAGTTATCCCAATTTGCTGTGTTGAGTTGGCATTGTACAGAAATGGACAGGCATATTGGTCTAGAAATGTAAATTTTTTTTTCCATTTGTACAGGAGTAATGCACTGTATTAAATATGTAAGGTCATATCTATGTGGGTTTGATTACAGAAACTAATAAAGTATTCTCTAAATAATGGAAAAAAAAGAATAAGATAAGACTACAAGAGCAAGAAGCAATTTAAATATGTTAAGGGACCATTTTCATCTTCAGAATTAAGGATTATTTTAATCTTACATCATTGCCTTTTCTCTTTTACTTTCCTTTTTAGTTTTATTTTAGGATTCCCTATTTTTAAGGTTCATACAGAGATTTCTTTAACTGAAATACTGAATAGTTTCTCTGGTGTGAAAAACTGTAATAGTACACAGGATCCTAATGAGATAATTAATAATGTGAAATAGGAAGTAAAGAGCTAAAGGTGTAGGGAAAGTGGGAAGGGTGGGGGAAAGGTTATAAGGGAGAGGAAAAAACATATGAGAAATTGAAAAAATGAAAATAAAGTGTTTGTAAATGGGGAGGGGAGGAGAGGGTGAAGGGAGGGCAGGGACAAGGGGAAAAAATGAGAATCAAGACCTATTATGTAAAGGTACAGGATACCAATAATGAATATAACTGTATTGTATACCTAGATTGTACCAATAAACTCAATAAAAAGAAAAAAAAAAGAACATCTGAAATGTTTTAAAATTAATATAATTCCATTAAACCCAGCCTTCACACTAAGCTACATCCCAGCCTTTTCTATTTTTTTATATCTTACTGAATTTATTGGTACTTTTTAGATATACAGAACAGTTACATTCATCATTGGGATCTTGTAACTTTACATGACAGAACTTGGTTCTCATTTTTTACCCATACAACCTTTTTTATTTTTTATTTTTCAGTCAGGCTCTCATTAAATTGTATAGGCGGGGCTTGAACTTGTAAGGCTCCTCCCTCCACCTCCCAATTGGCTAGGATTATAGGCGTGCACGGCCAAACCCGGTGACAATGCTGTTACTTTCATGGCCTTCAAAATCTTTTTTTTTTTTGGTACTGGGGATTGAACTTGGGATCTTGTGCTTTCGAGGCAGGCGGCTGAACCATTGAGCTAAATCCCCAGCCCTACTGTTACTTTTAAAATCAGTGAACATAAGATCTCATTCAGCCTAGATGATCTGTTATTTTTTTAAAAAATAAACTTCTTGGGGCCGGGGATTTAGCTCAGCAGTTCGGTGGCCTGCCTTGCAAGAGCAAGGACCCGAGTTCAATCCTCGGTACCAAAAAAAAATAAACTTCTTAGTCTCAAAACTTCAACTGACAGCAGCTGACCCCGCAAAATCGTATCAGATTTTGAGACGGGCAAATAAAAATCTGCATTTTGTGTTGCCTACCACACAGCTCACTTTTATAAGGGTAGAAATGCATTATGAAACACCACTGTTTCACTGTGTTTTCTTTTTGACTAAACAGAGACAAGGAACAACATCCCCAGGGCCTTTAGGAAGAGCAGCCCTAACTATTGACATGGCCGGTGTTTTTCAAAAACTCCAAGTTTAAATTCTGGAGTTCCTTTTTGGCCACATTTACCATAAACTTCTCTTTCTTTCCAGCTCTATAAAATTTATTTAGGGAGGCAACTGACATTTTCTTGAATTAGTCCATAGAGGGAGACAACAAAAATCAGAAACTGCAACCAATCTCAGGGTACAGATCTAGGAAGCAGCATGCTATGTCCACAACCTTTTTCTTACAAGAAATATTAGTGTTTAAGGCCAAAAGTTGAGAACAGACAGCTTGGGCCAAATAAACCCTGTAAGGCCTGACCTCCTGATCACTGCGCTTTCCTCTAGAAAACTATGTATTTGTGTTGAGTAAGCAATTATACATAACTGAAGATAATCTGAAATAAAAATTTTAAAAGGGAGCCTGGCAGTATTAACTGGTGGTATCAATCTGAGCCTTACAAGCAGTATTTTTCCATTATTCTCTCACATTTAAGATATAAATTATATTAAGTAGATATAATGAATTACTATAGGAATTTCGTTCAGTTGGTCATTGTTGTAAATGCCAATATAAGTTATTTTACAAGGTGTACCAAAAGAGAAATTGATTTTGTTTTTGGTACCAGAATTTGAACTCAGGACCGTGCACTTGCAAAGCAGGTAAGGCAACACTGAGCTACATCCCCAGCCCCAGAAACAGATTCTTGCAAAGCAATGGATAGTCACGGATGGCCTTGCAGAGTTTACTTTCTTATCAAGAAAATAAAAACTGCAAGCATCAGTAACATTCAGATTCTTCTGAGATCTAGAGCACACAAACATGCAAAGTAAATCTTTTGATTTTCAAAAGTCATACTCTACATTTAAACATTACCTTTACCTATGTTAAAAACAGAACCCTCCACGGAGGACCCGTGCGGTCCCTGAAGAAGCTGCTGGTCACCCGCGGAGGGCCTGTGCTTACCCTGTTGTAGAAGGGGTGCTGGGGGCCCGTCATGCCGCTGTAGTAGCTGCTGTGGGGCTGCGGGGAAAGAACCCCGCCTGCAAATGGCCCGTTGAAGGACGTGGAGGAGGAGCACACGGAGGGGGGCTGGCTGCACCCCGATGGCGCCCGAGGAGCAGCTTCATGCAGGGGCAGGGGCGGGTAGGCAAGTCCTCCTATGTTGATCTGCTCCCGGGCAGCGCGGACGTCTGCAGAAGGCCACCAGGCCGGGACAGAGAAGCCGGGGACACTCGGGTTAGTCCCACCCACTGGCTGCCCGACGTGGGATGGAGCCCTCTCTGCAGGGACAGAGGATTCAAGGGGACAGGAATCTTGACCACTGAACCTGAACCTGAGTTCGAGAAGCCCAACTGTTGGGTACAAAAGCTTTTGTGAGAAGCCACAACATCTGGACTCTACTCATCAGTTATTCTCTGCCCTATTAATTATTCTGGGTTTTTGTTGTTGTTGTTCCAGGGATTGAACTCAGGACCTGGTGCTTGCCAGGCAGGCGCAGCACCACTGAGCAATATCCCTGGCCCTTAAGTATTCTGACTTTTAAAAAGATACGGGCACGGGATACACCAACAATCCTATGCTCATTGGTGTCACCAGCCACAGGGACTTGGAGGAGTCAAATGCTAACTCACGCAAGCTTAGCTAAGACTGCTGGGGTTCAAACTAGAAGGCTCATCCATCTCCAAGTGACAGAATCCAGGCAGGAAACGATGTGGACACCAGCCTTGTCAGAGGTGCCCACACGGAGCACGCAGGCACTGACTGTCACTGACTTAACTTTCACAGCGCTGGGCACTGGACCCAGGGCCTTGTGCATGCTCAGCAAGTGCCTCGCACGTGACACACAGGGACCGCTGACACACGCACTTCTCCACTGGTGAACACAGGCCACTCACTCCTCCCCTCCAATCAGAACCAGCCCCTCCCGCTGGCAAGCACCGTTCTATCCCCACTGCAGAACGGCCCCCGTGAACATCCCCACTGACCTACCCTTCTGTGCCCCTTTTCACCTTGCTCGTCCTGTAGAGCTGCTCTGAAGTGACCATTTCCTAATTCTTGGGAAACTCAAGGGCAGGCCAGCTACATTGTGAGAAACGGCATTTTGATGAAGGCTGGGGCTATGGCTGTGTCTAGATGTCCCCCAAGCCTCAGGCGGTCATGGGGGGTTTTTTGGAGGTGGCTGGGTCTGGCATGTGTGATGCTGCAGGTAGGCGTGTGGTTTCTGACTGGGTTGAGTTCTGGGTGTGGACACTGGGAAGTCCCCTGGGTGAGGGTGCTACCGCCCTCAGGGGGTACAGCCTTGGTGGACTGTAAGGGACAGAGAGCGGGGCTGCTACTGCTTGCTGCCTCACTGTGGCGCCCTCTGCCTGCCTTCTTTGCCATGCACTGTCTCTCCTCTGATGCTCTTCTTCCAGGCCGCTCAACCTTAGAGCCGCTGACTACGAAACCTCTGCAAAGTGAATCAAATAAATCTCTCTGCCTCAAGCCCCAGGTGTTGGGCACTTCCTGACTCCAAGTGAATCACTTCCTCCAGCTCCAGTCTCCACCTGAAGTTAAAGATTAAACATGAAGATTTCCTTCCTCCTTTGGAGAGAGACAAGGAAACTGTAAGGGACTAGCATCCGAGAGCCGCTGTCACATGTTAAAAGCAATCAGATTCCCAAGCTCCAAAGACCTCTGGGGAAGGTGTGGGAACTTAACACACAACTTCTTTTTGGGTAATAGCACTGGGTATTGAACCCAGAGCCTTTGCACTGAGCTACATTCCCAGCCCATTTCTTTTGTTTTTTCTTTTGTGACAAGGTCTCCCTAAGTCACTAATTTGTCCAGGCTAGGTTCAAACTTGTGATCCTCCTGCCTCAGCCTCCCTGAGTGCTGGGATTACACATGTGCTTCACCACACCAGCTAACATTTTCTTAACATTCCCAAACTCTTATATTTTATTCATTCTCCTGTGTGGTATGTTTAGCTCAAACGTCTTGACTTTTCACGAAGTAGGAGAAACTTTCTGAGAACTTCAGAGAGTCAAAAGCAAGAATGCCTAACACCCACCTGCGATAATCTCCCGGAGCTTGGGGTCCAGGTTCACGGTGCACGGCAGAAAGGTTTTCACATCTCGAGCCACGAGAACCGGGGTCCTTGAAGACAAAAACACTTCAAAATTCCTTATGTCTCCATCAATTTCAAGCAGTGGCTCAACATCTTTAGTTGTTGGAATATTCTTCGATATCCTTCAAACAAGAAAGAAAGGCAAAGGGTCATTTCTGTCACTATGAGAAAGTCTAACTCTGTACAACTTAAAACTTGTCACTTAGGGGCTGGGGATGCAGCTCAGTGGTTCCACCGCCTGCCTCACAAGCACAAGGACCCAAGTTCAATACCCGGTACCAAAAAACAAAAACAAAAACAAAATATTTGCCACTTGCACAAACAACACATTATACACCTGACTTTCATTTTTAAAAAATGTTTAAAGAAAAGAAATCCAAATAAGTGGTATAGTTACAAAACAACCACAGTAATGGTGAGTCAGGGCAGGACTTCTGCTGGGAAAGGGAGGAAGGAAAGTAGCACAACAGGGGTGACATCAATGGACCAAGGAAGACAGTGGGCCCCACAGAGATTAAACCCTGGCTCCAGCCAGACACATTGTGGTGCACGCCTGTCATCCCAGCACTTAGGAGGCTGAGACAGGAGGATCGCCATGAGTTAAAAGCCAGCCTGGGCTATACAGCGAGACCGTGCCAAAAACAAAAATGAAAACAAAACCTCCCCTAAATCACACCCCTAGGGGAGACTTTGGTTCTGGACCCTATGATTTTAAAACAGAATACTATGATTCTTCCTTTTACAGAGAAAACTAAGAACTTTAAGTAAATTATAAAAACTAGAAAACTATTAGGACAGACTTCTTTTTCATCTTTTTTTTTTTTTTTTTTTTTTTTTTTTTTTTTTTTTTTTTTTTTTTTTTTTTTTTTTTTTTTTTTTTTTTTTTTTTTTTTTTTTTTTTTTTTTTTTTTTTTTTTTTTTTTTTTTTTTTTTCAGAACTAGGGATCAAACCCAGGCAAGTGCTCTACTGCTAAGCTATACTCCAGCTCAGGCTCTTCCTAAAAGAGGTTTTAGTCAGGCAAGGTGGTGCACAACTGTAATTCCAACACTTTGGAAGGCCGTGGCAGGAAGACTGCATGTTTGAGCCCAGCCCGACACTGTCTTGAACCAAGGCCCTGTCTCAAAATAAAAACAATTTTAAAAAGAAAAAGAGCTGTGATATAGCTCAATGCAAAGGTCCTAGGTTAAGTCCTCAGCATACACACACGCAAAAGGTTTATTTTTCTCTTGTAAAAGAATACATGAAATACAGAAAAGTGGACTGGGGATAAAAACACATTTTTACTAATCACACAATTATTACTAACACACTTGGTCTTTTACTCCATGGACTTTCTTACATAGCTGATTTCAAACCAACAACACTGTGTCAGGCAGCTCCCTGAATGCAGAAACCAGAGTCCCTATTCGGTAAGAGCACTGTCAGGCCTGCCACCATGGGGGGTTGAGACCACTGCTCGGTGGTGGAAGTGGTCGTGGACACAAGGCCAGGCAGAGGCCACTTGTGTGGTGCACTGGAGAGAGGAGGATGAGAACCCAGGGAGAAGCTGCACCACAGGAGGATGAAAACCTCCCCACTGCTAACAGCAGAAAGACGAGAAAGCCCTGGTCCCCACACAGCGCTCTCCACTCGGCAGTGGACAGGCATGAGTGACAGACACACGAATTCAGAAACTACATTGAGGAAACTTCTAGCCAAACACAAGCGCACAGGTGCTGTCATTGTTCTGTGGTACTGGGATTGAACCCACGGCTTCTCATGGAGCTACAGCCCCAGCCCTTCTTTACCCCATGACGGGAGCTCACTGAGACTCGGGATTACAGGCGTGTGCCGACGTGCACAGAGAGTCGTTTTCATTCTACGAACAGCAGGTCAAGGTTCTCTGTGCAAGTGGGGAGGTGGGAGGAGGAGGGTGAAGGGAGAGCTATCAAAAGACTGGGCGGAGACCCATGGAAGCCACAGGTGATTGTGCTGACCACTAGGGGATACATGTGAGCACCAAACCTAGGGCAGTGTGCGGCTGGACACAGTGGCCTACCGGGTGTCCAATGTCCCTCAGATCGCAGCGTGGAAGTCACCTGGATGAAATGCCAGGCTGTGCTGAGTGAGTACAGCTGCAGGGGAGTCCTCCAAAGAGAAGTGGGGACCTCACTCTGATCTAAGTGACCATCTCGATTTCTTTGGGACCAGTGCTCTTCTGTTCAGACTCAGTACTTGGCTAGTAGCCAAATATTAAAAGTCATCTAAGGGAAAATCCTGAGAACAAAATTAGCAAACAAGAACAGAACAGCAGGCTAGTGAGGAAAGAAAGAGCAATTTGGGCTTGACGCATTTCAGAGACTCACACACACCCAGAAAAGAAAAGCTCTCTGAAATGGGATGACTTTTCATGAAGTCAAACAGCACGTAAAGTGGTTATTAAATATATTTAAATGAAACAGAAAACCTGGAGAATGACCGCACTGGACTGTGTGCTCCAGTGGCCAGAACCTCAGAACTGAGATAGTTAAAAAGGCAGTTTGCCTCTTTGAGGAGTCTCCCACACTCACAAAGAAGAAAGGCTAGAAAGATTTATATAAAAACGCACAGCTGACGAATCACATAAAACAAATTAACTGCATGTTCATGCCAGCGGCCAGCCTGAATGCGAACAGTGTTCTGGACAATGCTGCCCTTCAGCAGCAGCCAGCAGCCCTCCAGCTCTCCCGGCTGTGGGCGGCGGGCAGGCGGGCCGCTAACCTTCAGAGCTCCGCGCCACTCCTCTGGGAGCACACCGATGTAAAGCATCATCCTTTGGCAGTGGGCAATCAAGTCATATGGGCCTTTATTTCTCGGGTTCTTCCAAAGGCCAGCATTTAAAGAACTCTTCAAGTAAGAGTGAATTTCCATTTCCTGGACTACGATCATGTGAACTGAAGTTGCCAGCAGTTAAATGGCCCACGTAAAGCACTCTAAAACCTCAGGTTTCAAGGAGCTCCTGACAGGTTTAGGTGTGATTTCCTTGCGTGCCACCAGCACCTGGTAACACCAACATCAGTGCAGGTTAAAGCACTGTGACACTAAATGCCAGTGGTTTATAGAACGTCTATATGGATTCCTTGGCAGAAATTACATAAGCCATTCACAGCACTTCTACTCAAGATGAAAATTTAAATTAGACAGAAATTTCTATTTTAAATTGAAATATAAGCCAATTTTTAGAGCATAATTTGTGAAGAAGGCATTACTTATATTTTGTTTGAAGGTAGCTGCTTAGCAATGTCATTACTCGATAGGAAGTCCAAAATTAAGGTAAATTCTCTCCCTCCCTCCCTCCCTCTTTTCTCTCCATGAGTGCGCGTGCAGTGCTAGAGACTGAACCCAGGGCTCTACACATGTTACACAAGCATCCAGTCAGGCTACATCCCCAGCACAAATTTGCTTTGGGATTCTATCCCAGTGAAACAAACTGAATATCTAGGAGCCCCTCAAGTACTTTCTACCACTGATGGCTCATTTACTGAGTATCTTTTCTGCACAAAATGCTATGGAGATTCTAAGAGACGGAAGGACACAGACAGAAAAAAAGCCACTCAGCACAGTTGTAACCTGAGTCAGAAGCAAAGACAAGAAAGTCATATGCACCCCACTACTGCCTATGAAGGCACCCCAGTCCTGAGGCACTTGGCAGCCGGTCCCACTTTCCCCTTCACCACCACCACATTACTCCCATCCGCCCTCAGGAAGTCACCTATCAAACTGGAAGGCACTCATATTCTTCCTGCTTAGCGCCCCCTGCAGACCCTTCCATCACATCAAGGTCAGTTATAAACCTGGTTCATTCACCACCACATCCTGCGTGCCCAGAGCGAACACTGGTGCAACACTGCTGGTCAAGAAGTATCTGTGGAGCAAATGAATGCCAGACACAAAATGTGTTCTTCCTGAAGAACTCTATTCTTGCTGGGGATTTAGCTCAGTGGTTCCACCGCCTGACTAACAAGCACAAGGTCCTGAGACTGATCCCAGGTACCAAAAAAACAACAAAAAAAGAGAACTCTGTTCTCTTAGAATAAAAGAATTTTCACCTTACCCTTTCAAATACTGACAAAAGCCCTGCGCTCAGAAAGGAGCAGGTTCATCGCTGTACGTGGGGTGTGGTAAGTAGGAGTCCAGTCCTATTCTTTTTTTGCATGTGGAAATCTGGTTGTCCCAGCACCAGCTGCGGGAGAGGCTGTTCTTTCTCTCCCCGCCAAATGGATCCAGCACTCTTATCAAAAGTTTAACTAGCCACAGGGCTTGGGTTTCTGGACTCCCAATTCTGTTCTTTATCCTTCCAGTCTACATGTCCATCTCTATGCCACTACCACACTGTTTTGACCACCACAGCTCTGTAGCTGGGTTGTAAAACTGTAAAGTGTGGGCCTTCCAGTTTTACTCTGGTTTTTCAGAACTGTTTTGGTTATTTGAGGTATACCTTGCAATTTCCTATGAATGTGAGGATCATCGTTGTTCTATAAAAAGAAATAAAGGCTACTAGAATTTTGACAGAGACTACACTGAATGTGTAGATCACTTTGGATGGTACTGCCATCCTAATACTTCCTTTTCCTTCCTCATAAACATGGACTGTCTTCTCATTTGTTTAGATCACCTTTAATTAAAGGTTGCCTAATTTATTCCTAAGTATCTTATTTTTTAAAATGCTCTCTCTTACATAAAAATGCTGCAATCAAAGACACTGGTCTTGTGAGGCAGGGAAATGAGGGGTTGAGACACTAACGAGAGACAGCACCCCAGTCTCCCTGCTTCCCTGACAGAGACCATCACATTCACTTTGGGAAGTTAGGTGCACACCTGTGATCCCAGCATTCAGGAGGCTGAGGTGGGGGATCGCCATGAGTTCAGGCTGGCTACAGAGTAAGTTCAAGGCCAAACTGAACCACAAAGCAAGACCCTGCCTCAAAGAAAATAAAAAAACAAAGCAAAACTATTATACAAACTTTCCATATGTTTTCACCTTAGAGGCTTTCCATTAAATGCACCTGTGAGAAAAGTGATTTCTAGAAATACAATGCTTACATGAAACGCAACCTGGCTGTTTTCTGAACAGAAGAAAGTAATTTTTTTTTTTCAGTGCTG